CGAAAACCTGTGCCAGTTTTCACCCAGCTAGTTACAGAAAAAGCGGTGAACTGCTTTAGACGGCAAAACGCACTTCACTTTTACAATCTACCGAACTCTCTTTCTTCAGTAAACAATTAAAAACACGTGTTTTGTGCAGACACATTTGCTACATAAACTGCACATCATAGGTCACCTCCGCTTCTTTCATCTATTACCTATGTTGACAATTTAGAAGACGCGTGGATGGAATGGAGCAAAAACCGATTTAAATTTTGTGAAAACGAAAAAAACTACCGCAAAAATTCAGCCCAGAACCGACGTTAATTACGATGTGCAAAGCAATTTACCATACGGTAAGTTGGTATAGGCAGATACGACTTCATCTGCAGTTAGACGTTTGTGCAAGTACTATTGCCTAAATTTCTTAGCCATATGCAACACCCTAATGCTTTTTGAGCGATCTGAAAACAATGAGCAAATGGAAATTGCAATTTACTCTAACTGCCTCAGCGAATAACTGATTGATCGTGAGCATATTAGTGGGAATGTGTTTGGAAAGAGCTTAACGATAACTCCACTGACACGGCTGATAGCACAGGCAACATAAAACGGATGTGAACGGAGGTAAAAACGTACGTGATATTTTCCTTCTCCGGCAGTTATTCGTTCAACACATCTCTTGGCGTTTTTGCTCCTTGGGCGCCCAAGGTGATGAAACAACGGTAGATCAAGAATAAATCGCTAACTTTCATAAATGTTTTCGCTAGTGGGTATATTGGAATAAACTAATGTATGTTACAGCCTGTTTGAGCCTCATGAATATTTAAAGCGTGTAACAGTCGGACGTAGAGCACGACAACCGAGACGTACAAAATATTATAGTGCACGCGGAAAGTGTAACTTAGTTACGTTTCATCACTTGATGAGTTTGAAAGGTTCTGACAACCAGTACATCCGGGACACGGAATACATCGTTTGAGGCAACATTTCCGTCTCACATTCACTATCAATGGCAGCAGGAAAAACAACCAAGCCAGCAGAGACGAGTGCGAGGTGTTAAAAAATAGATTATTTGAGCCGCCGGTAAACACCACAGACGTTGGTGAAGTAAATCATGAAGTTTCATTTTTCCCTGAATCGGTAAATTTCTTATCAAGATGAGCACTCTTAGGCCAAGTCGACGACGAGCCATCAAGGAAACACCCTCAATAATACAAAGTTGACCCCGTGATCAGCCTGAATAAATTATTTTCTTCAAAGACCGGGCCGCAATTCTAATTCATAAACCCAGTCAAGAATACCCTAAAATGTTGACAATAAGGTTGCTTAAATGTAATTCTCTTCCTAACTGTCAATAATATACATCTAAATAACATAACCCTCAAGTTGTGGACAATTCTGACGGGGAGACAAATTTGGAGGCAAGCAGCTTCTTTCACTCTTCCGTCCCCAGAAAAAAATAGGATACATTTGATAGATTTCGACTCTCCAGAGGAGACGCTGCAAGGAATTTAATCTCTGCTACTGTTGTTATATTTTCACCGTCACGTTCGACAGTTTAGATCACTGTCCCATTTAACAGGGAATGTTGGTGGGTGACTGTACTTGATCTGGTATACCCTGGGTACTCCCAGTGGACGACCACGACGATCGGTATAGCATAAAAATCAAGCAAGTTTGCGGATTGTTGGACCAGTGCGACAGGTGTCAGTCTTGGATGTGTTGGAGTGATGAAAATCCAATACGCTTACTGATAAGGAAACATGACACTTCACCAAAAATGTCTTGAATTTTGCTACTCAAAGAGGAGAAGGGGCCAATATGTTACACAGTACATCAACCCTCTCTTGAGGTAATTCACTATTGCCTGACAAGCATAGCTGTTGAAGTGTCGGTAGTTAAGTACTGCCAGTATATTAAGTTAGCTCAAAGTGGGAGCCGAACCACTGGTCTTCTGAGCTACTGCAGTATCATATGGTAACAACAAATGGTTTATACAAAACTTCATACGTACTTCGTACTCAGGGTAGGCTACTGGTTAAACTACATACCGCAACCTGTGGTTTGTTGTTCGAATTGCTCCTGCACCTACACTTCCGAATTCATAGATTTAATCCTGAACTGTCAATCGGAATACCTGGCAGCCAATAAGCTCTCGAATGGACAACACTTGAGTAACTGATACTTTCTGGTTGCGCACACCTCTGCGGTACTTACACCCTACCGTGCTATTATAACCTGAGTAAAAACTTGGAACCTATTTTGGTTTGGAAACTTTTCAGGCGATTCCTTTTCTTTCAACTTAACGTCCGAAATTTCGCCTAAACCAAGTAAATTTCCCAAATACAAACATGCTTATGGATGTTTTCTGACTTGATTAAAATGTATGGAGCTGTTACTCGATTTTGTCCAATTCCGACGAAAATAAAATTGCGCAAAAAGTCAAAAACACAAGCTGAAATTCGCTGCAGAGGACGCTCTATAAAGTTATATCTATCTGGATGTAATGATGAGGAATAAGCGCCCTTTCTTGTGACGAGAAAAAATGGGATAATCAAAGACCTGAGGACGAATACTCCGGTCTGCTTTCTAAAATTTCGTAAATCGTCCCAGTATTCTGATGCCAATATAACATATCATTTCGGCGAGGAGAGCTCACCCTTAACAGTAAATTGACGAATTTTGTTTTTTGGTTTTAATAAAGCGACAGCCGTTATTTTCCGCAGCTTTTGCTTGAGTAAATAGTTGATCATCAGGTCAAGTAATCTTACGCAAAATGCCATTATTATGAAGAAAAATAGGGATGTTCCATGACATATGTTTAGAAAAAAAGCGATTTGGCGGAATCTTGCACTAAAGTAAGTCAAACACAGGTTAAATTACCCGTAAAACGTTAGAAATCATGAAAGTAAACTGCGGAGTGACGCAGCAGCAGCCCGCACTAAAACACTGCTGATAAACGGAAACGACAGATTAAATGAGTGGCAATGGTTTAGCCAGTGGGGAGTATTGATCTTACTTAAAATGTTCCGTTTCCTAGAATTCGTAACATTAAGGCACCATCGTTAGTCACACATTTATCCTGTCAGTGAACTCAAAGACGCTCTCAAGTAAAGGCCAACAAACCCGTCTTCCCTTGACTGCTGTCTGAAAAGGTTCCGTTTGCTTCCGTCTGAATGCTTCCTGCTTGCTGACGATATTAGGTTCAGAGGTATCAGAATTTCTTCCAAACAGTCCAAGGACTATGGGTGGAGTGGAGCTATCGGAAACATCTTCAATATTCTCATTAGATACACTCTCACTACTTCGTTGTGAGTGTCATAATAAAACCTGGAAATCCTTCGATGAAAAGTGGTTTCAGTGGTTTGTGACAGGATACTTTAGAACGACTTCATCTTTTGGTAATTTGACGAGGATAAACGTGACACCTGATTTTCTAGCTGGGCACTCAGGAGGTTCTTACCTCCATTTATGTGCAAAATCAGACGTATACAACACACTTTTTACCTCATTTCAGTATGACCAAAAATGCGGAAATCAATAATTTCTCTTGTTTCCGCAACTGGCTTTTGGATGGATCTAACCAGTCTAACCAAATCAGTATGGTAACATGTTAATAATATGTTGCAAACAATATATTTTTGAAGTTTTCTTTGGGGTGGACAACCATCTAAAGAAATATCAGCTCGCCTGAAGACTGGGATGTCGCATGTTTTACTTGTTGAAAATCTTTCACCCATTGATTTCTATTGTTTTAGTGAGCGTACCGTTTGCTCCTCATTTTTCTTCAGCACTCGCAACAACGTTAACTGGATTCAGTACTTGTTTTAAAGATAAAGACATCATTACTAACCTATCGTTCCACTGTAATACGTCAGTTAACTTCGACAGATTTGGTGTTGTTAAAGCGTCCTGTCCAGTGGCGGATGAAAAGACATCCGTGCCTCACTTCAACCTATGTGTGTGCTGAACATTTTAAGTAGTGATGTGATGTCGTGACTGATGTACATATCCTTCTATGTCTCAAAAGAAGCAGCAGTCTGGGTGCCTCGGGTTAATGGACCAAAAAAACAACAGTCTTGTTTGATACTTAAAACAAGTTCCCTTCAACACATGGAGATGCCGGAGATACTTTAATACTCAACAGTAGAAGATTGTGACTTAGCTACTTTATTACCGTGAGATTATTTCATCTATCAAAAGGGACACCAAACTTTTTAAGGCGTATCTAAACATGCAGCAGACCGAGAGGTTTACTTTGTCCCACCAGCATTTACTGTCATCGGTTACATCATCTCTATTGGGTACCAGTATGCGTTGAAATTATCGGCATGTATGGTCATTGTTCGCACCAAGCTAAATTTATCAAAACCAGCCAACATGTCCTGGCGAAACAAGGAAGAAATAAGATGGCAACAGACGGGAACCAATGTAATATTTACGAGCGCACTTATTGCATGTCGGTTTAAGCCATCGATTATCACACCGACGCAAGTACCCGGGAGAGTGCGTCATCAACGCCATTCACCCCGGCATTATGGACCCTCAACGCAAAACCGGAAAAGCGGAAAGCACCCTGTAGGAGCTAATTATGTTATGTTTGCTTTATTTACTGCGAAGTATTGGTCCGATGCCAAATGAACTCTTATTGTTGCCAAGTTTCTCGCCATTTCCACGTAGTTTGTCGCCGGCTTTCATAGACCCCACAATTAGCTAGGAATGGTATAAAAGATTCAAAATTTGCGCGGACTTGCTCTGTGATGCCTTAACGTATAAATTAACTCGGTCCGAAACCATCAGCAGTTGAGAATACAGTAGGATTAGAACTATTTAGTATTGACTGACCAGTAGCATACACAAAATATCAGCTATCTATGACGACAATGAATGTGCGCACGGTTGACTGGTACACTTATCGCTAACCACATCGGAAAATAGGGTACATATGAGCTGGACGGAGCATAGCTAACCTGCTAGAAAACTGGTTATTAATCTTGCTCCCACAGGGAGATAAGGCGTCACATGACTGAGCACTGGTTGCGCCGAAGTACATTTTGAACAGCTCTGGCTGCTGTGGGTTTGTGCGATTGTTCTTTCGTCTCCAGCAATTTCATCAACTCCTTGAACACAGTCACAACGTGCCAGTTATATCTGGCTGAGCATTCCACCAGTACCGTACCTTTCCACTGTTTCTTTACCAGAGCCGCGACTTCACGACGAAGATTGCTAATAGTGTGGCGTGACAGACTATCTGTTCCTGCCAGAGTCGTCAACGCTGTGGGTGCTGTTGATTGAGGTGAACAGTGGGTTGCACAAGAGTTCGGTTCCGTGATATGAAGCTTATCAATCTTGTTAGCAACCAGAAGCACAGGAATGTCCGCATGTTCGGATACGATCTGATCACGTAGGTGTCGTGTGTATTGAAAAGATTGGTCTGAAGTAATATCAAAGACTAGCACAAATGCAGAGGCTGATCGAAGTCCCCAACCCCGGTAGTGCGACCATTCCTCAGCTGAGGTTGTCGGATATCTACCCATAATTGAGGGGCAGTCGATCATCCTCAGATTAAATAATCTGTCATTAAATGTGATTACCCGATCATAATATTCCGGTCTGGTTAAAGTAGGGGTTGGATTGACAACGTCAACGCAATGAACAAATTGCCGAACAAGTGACGTTTTCCCAGAATGTCTGCTCCCAACAATAGGAATTCGTAAAACGCTTGCACATTCTACGGCGGAAAACTCATCTTTTTCTGGTATTGCATTCAGCAGGTAGCTGCTTCCGTTAGGTATGCGAGCAATTGCGGATATTGGGGCTGTAACATCTGTAATTTTTTTCAAGGGAACCCATTCATGTGTTTCAGGGCCACGTTTCGCGCTGCAGCAAATTCGTGCACTCTGGTTTGATGAGAGTTTTTCCGCCTCATGAGGGGACTTTCTAGCTGTCTGTAGTCGGGTGGGGGGTACCACTGAGATTGCTTGTGGTATTGATTTGGGTGGGGATTGCGTCGTATTGCTGCTTGCATTAGCGCCCGTAAACACTGACTGAGCACGTCTTAGTGAAACTTCTTCATCATCCAGCGTACTGACCTGTTCCCATCCGGCTAGTCTGGCAGCGGGATCACGATCTAAATATTCCGCTCTGGTTTTGTATCCACGAGTTTCTTTCCGAGGGTTTGAGATTTTTCTCAATATTGTTGGAACACATATACACAGATCTACAGACGCCTTCAAAATGTGACAGAAAAATTTGGATCCTTTGAGTTGTTACCATTAACAAAACCTAAGAGACGTTTTTATCATTTTACAGAGGCGTATTCTGGATAAGAATTCTCAGAATGTAATCGAGTGTTTAGCCATAGTACATTCCGAACGTTGTTACACAGTAATGCACATTATTCCGCAAGCTTTGTTGGAATGGGCAAAACAGATATATATGGACTATTCCTTTTTATCAAGAAACTTGATGCAAGACACACAGATGTTACTATTGGTCAAATCGGATTGGGACAAAAGACTGACACATTCTTGCAGCCAGAACGTTGCCAGTTGGACGGTGGCAACAAACCTCTGGGAGAGTGGCACACGCTTGGAAAAGGTGGGAAAGACACGTCGTCTTGTCCTCCATCGGCTCAATTATTCTGACGAATTCTAACTAAGCTTGTTTTTGAGCAGAAAGCTTTTTTGTGCAAGAAACAAACAGCTTGGCTGATTGTAAGGTTCTAAAATTTGTGAAGGCAACACACTTCATGGTGTACTGGAGTTAAAAAAAAACAGAAATTACTTCCAGATAAAGTAAATCCAACCTGATTTACGGAAATGCATCACGATAATACTTTATTAAATGAGCATATGTCACCGTTCACTGTGTTTTACACTGACTTGATTTTTACACACTCATCCAGTGAATTATAGTGCCCTTGAATTTGAGCCTAGTCAAACGAGCCCCAGCGTTTAGCAATAGAAAAATTATACTTGAAGTATAATATATCATTTCACGATTTTATATTTATCTTGGAAGCCAATCAAGCACAATCGCGGGAAACAAACACTCGGCTGATGTGCACAATCAGTCGTCACGGGTGTCCACAGGTTGGAGTTCGCTTTTATGCTAGCTTTATGTGAAAACATGTCGTTTAACTTGGCTCGACCACAGCATTGTCGCTATATCCTGCAGGCTTCAGCCGCTAGGGTGTCGTGAACGAAATGTGAAGCTTCCGAAAAACAATGGCACTTTTCTCAAAAAATGGATCCTTGTTATTTCGGAGTGTAGTACACTTTTATAAAGGCAACAAAAGATCTTTCAAAATTGGTGACATTGGATCCGTAATTATAGTAAACCATCAATGAACGAGTTACCACAGAGCTTAACGCCCGGTAGTGTACTCACTTACCTTTAGTAAAGAAAACATTTAAATCCAATTTGGGTAGATTGGATGTTAAGCGTGAAAATGGACCACCTATCTTATAGATTAGCGTTGTTGGGTGTGAATACTCATTGTCTAAAGTCTCACAAAACAGTGACATCGATATAGAGTGATAAAGTCTGAGCCTTTCCCATACAGATGAATAGCTCAGAATAATATCGCTATCTCGATGGTTCCACAACTTAAACTGTCTTGTATTTTAAGGCTTGTGTGGGATTTGCCCCAATTTTACACTTCAGTGTGCAACACCATTTAATAGCTCACACTGAGCTTCTATCAAAATCTGACACGTTTATACCATACAATATGCCATGTAATATTCAAAAAATGTTTGTGAGAATCGGTTATCTGCCTCATATTGCTGCATATTTTCCAACAAATCAAAAATCCCAGCTGCGGACGCTTATATTGTTTCCTATTCCAGACCATGAACGGTGGACCAATACAGAACCATTCGAACCTTGAATGGCGCATGAATCCCTACTAATAATGACCTTTTTGGATCAGTTCTAACAGCAGGATTTTCAGTGTCCGAGTGGAATTTTTCACATGGTCTTGTCATTGACCAATCGCAATTCACTCGTGTGGCATTGTGTTTATCTAGGATGGGGGTGTGGATCATCAAAATAAATCACTGAGGATGTTCAACCAACAATAATTTCAAGTTACGATTGAGCTCTGACTACACTCCCGTTTCGCTGTAATTGAAATCTGGTGCAAATCGTATGCGTCAGCACCGTAAAATATGTGGTCAGACCTTGACCGCAAGAGGAAGTCGGTGAATTATGCTGGAATTGACATCAGGATGATGCCTACCGAACAACATCAAACAACTGACACCGGATTAAAGTGAGCATATTTTGATACAAGAGAAAATGTTTCTTACTCACCACGAAAGTAGATCAACCAGTAATCGGGCTTATTCCTTTCTAGAGTGTACATCACTGATGAATCACTGATCTCAAGTTTACGGAGAACAGTAGGAGCATAGTGTGGGCCACCGGACGACAGAGAGCTTGCAACTTTTCATCGACAAGCTTGTGGGCTTACAACCTTCCATCGAAACAACCACTAGCCTCCCTTGCACTGGTGAAAGGTGGCGCACAAGGCGCTGCCAAAGACAGCTATGGAGAAAGCGGGTAAACTGCTGAACTATGAAAACAAGGCAAAGTATCATGAAGGTGAGCCAATAGCTAAAAAAATTAGAAGCAGGATGCACAGCCGCAGAAGAGCAAGTATCATACCACACATGGTAAGTCTCTTGTCCTATAATATTGCCCAGTGCTACATGGAACTAAACACCGCACTGATCATGCAGCGAGTGTCATTTTGATTGACTAACTTCAATATGAAGACACTTATACTCCAACAGTACCGATTTTGAACACAAAGGAATCGTTGTAAGAGCATAAGAATCAGTCAGCTGGTTTAGACCACAAAATATTGGCCGTTGAAAATTCGCCCTCACCCAAATCAACATGAAGCATACCATCACAAAATAGACATAACTTTTGGTAAAATTCAGGTCTCTAGAACCTGAAAAGACCAACAGACAATCCTGCAAGTTCAACACATCTCCTTGAATACGCCGGGTCATTTCGCAGAATTATTTAGTGGTCAATTTTATAGATAGTAGAGGTAAAGTGCCTGAACTTTGCCGGACAAAGTGGTTCTGGTCGTTATTCCCCACAATAACTGCTACCAAACATATAATTCCAGCGATATATTGTGCTTACTGTTTTTCTTGGTTTTCACTTATTGAGGGCGCATCTAGTGCTGCAACACGTTGTTGCCTCCAGGCTATCTTGAGATTTGGAAGGAATTATCCCCTCGTAATATGTGCAATGAAAACTAAAAATGACAGATGGTGTGTGTAAAAGTTGTTTTGTTAGCCGCATACTTTGAATAAAAAATGCACTCGCCGTGCATCAGACGTGCCGCTACCTGTGGGTTTGTGTCGGACAGAGATAAAGTAGCTTGGTGACATACAAAAATATCGCCCTGAGGCAGGTATCATACGTATTGTCATTTTCAGTAGCTTCAAGAAAGACTGAATTCTAAAAAAAGTCAAAAATCTTTGTACTTTCCAAAAAATTGCTCATCCGTGAACTTTTAATGCTGGTATCTTGAAGAGCTTGAGACTCGAACAGGTCTATCGAGGGGACGGTCTGTATCATTATACGCAAGCATTGTCTCCACTTCGATTTAATGTAAGGCTGGGAAAAAGCATCCTTCATACAGTGTCCAATTTCTACATACTTACTAGTGCCCTTAGTATGGTTTCATCAAATACAAAATTCGTCTTTTGTCTGTGAGTTAGCCAAATCGTAAAGTTCGGCCACCTGGCCCGACATTGAAACACCAGGATACCATAAATTCCACTGAACGGATCCGGTAGAATTACGCCGCCAATTCGCTTGTGAGATCTCAGCGAAGGAACTGTGTTGTTTTAAATTCTCTAAAGACTTGTCTACTGCGAACCGATGAAAAAACGGATAACTTGAGTGACGGACAAAGTTTACGAGTGGAGAAACCCCAACTATGCTCAAAAACGAAGCACCTGATATCTAAACATAAGGAAGTAGCACGGCAGTTTTCCCTACGGTGTTGATCAGATATGTGATCATATTATGATGATCGAATTATTATGTGACCATATTATCTCATACTAATAACCTTGCTCCATGATTATTCCCAAAATAGCGTGGCCGCTAAACATTCCTTTGAAGGCCGATCGCAAGTTAATTTCTTGCCACTAGCGAAAACGTACAGGTGCCTTGCGACCGAATGCTTTTGTTGAGAAAATTGCTGTTTTCATCTGGTGTGGCACAATCATTTCCTCCAAAGTTTGCCACACTGAACATTCTGCTCTCACCCTGGTAAAGGATTTGTTGCCCAAACAGTACTTCGTGGGCTGCACTATTCCTTGAGATGATAAACCATGACCTAACTCTTCTAAATTTAATCAAACTATCACGTGATCTTAATTCAGCCATGATGGTGAAATTGTACAAGTAGCTGATACAATGCGTGAAATATTCAGTAGTTTAGTTCAAATTATATTCAACCAAAATACTCAAATGTTCAGTCTAAAGCGTTATAACGTATCTTCGTCCTCATATAACATTCAGAAAATTGACTGGGTTAAAGAAACATCTGTTCCAGGAATCGCTGTACTTCCATCATCCTAAACATCTATGTGCCTGGTGAAGTAAACATCATCCCTTTATGTGAAAATTGTTGCTCGAAACACGTGCTGCAAAACATAAACCCTAGTATTATTTTGATTTACGGAGAACCGGCTTGTCTTTCTGATTTATTCCAACGAGTAACGACATGGGTCCTGAAGCACAACAAAACATCCTAATCTGAATAATGTGAGAAGACATAAGTTTGGTGTTGAATGCATTACTCGCATAATTCAGCAAGCTGAATGCTTGCCACGAACATCGTTCCCCTAGAGATTAGCCTCTCGACCCCACCGAGTTTGGGGACATACATAAAGACTAAAAACAGCTGCATACTGGTTTCTTTCATCAGGTGTGAGTATATCGCCTAAAAGCGTTTGTTATAATTTATTTGTCCTAGCTACTGTGGAGCTTGGGATTCAGTTACACTCAAAGTTGCTCCTTAAGAAATTGTGCTCGATTTAACCTAATTGGCCATTAGTTTAAAAAACTGTTGAAATATAGGCACACTATTGAGGAAACGATCTATGCATTGAATGAACATTGTAGTCTCAATAAAGATCACAAAGATATAACCCTTCTTGAACTAACGTTGCATGCAATTTGCTGCTGCTTTAAATCTAAGTGATATGATCAATCGGATGATACACTCAGTGGTATCACCACTGTGATCAATAACCCTACAAACTAAAACGTCAAAACCGCGTAATGTTTCGACGTTATCCAACCCCACGTAGCCAATTAATCTGGGAAAGTCATAGCCACATGTTATAAAAACTGATCTGACCACGCCAGTGAATGCAGAATTTTAGGATTTTGAATGACAACAACTGCTTACAAAATATATGATACAACAGTTATCCTCCTCGTAGTGATTTGACCGTGGCGGTTTTACCTGATGGCATACTACGCCTACGAAATCATCGTAAATGGTAAATAAGGAGTAGATCATCTATCTTGCAGTGAAAAATCCTGTAGCTTGATTCATATGCTGCTACTCTACGAGCCTATTCATTGGTTCTGTTTGGCATTGAAATAAACTCACCAGCTGTGTCATGGTCAGGTCAATCGACGACTTCATCATTCACACAGCAGCAAGAGTACGCACTGTTCCTACACCTTGAGAAGCATGCAACTTATTCACTAAATTAGCAATAAAATATATTTAAGGTAGAGCGACAAAGACGTAATATTATTCCATCTCATAAACTTTCTTGAATTTGTGGCGCACAAATCAATCCCCATCTGGAGATATGGCTGAATGGTATATTATTCACGGGAATGAAGCTCTTTAAATGAGAGTAAAGAAAAAGAGCTCACTTTAAAAACAGTACTGACTGGTAAATTTGGTATACCTCAGTGACCGATGTTTCACTTCCACAGTTCGCACGGTCGACTTTAGTATGAAGAGTTGGCCAACTCTATTTTACGTAGAAAACACGCGTACACTAAATACATTTGCTGGGTTCAGCATGCGTGTCGAAATTTAATGCCCTGGTTACTCACGAATGGTCAGGTAATTGATGGTCACTTCCCAAAGTGCTCATGAAAGACCTCGTAGTTGCTAAGCTGAGGGATTGGACTCAGTCACTTTCCTTTACCCGGTGTGACGGCTCCCCAATAAAATTTGTGAGGTAGACCATTACGGTCAGATTTCGTCGATGTCGTTCAATCGGCAGTAGCAATCATCTGACGGCGTCCAACTGTGTTTCGGCAACCAGAATGCAGTTCGAATAAATCCAAAGCACGGATTCATTCGAACTGCATTCTCTGTCAGTCCTCTAAACACATTTCCAA